AGGTAAGTCGGTGGGCATCGTGACGACCACCCGCGTGCAGCACGCCTCGCCGGGCGCCTCCTACGCCCACGTGGTCAACCGGGAGTGGTACAGCGACGCCGACCTGCCCAAGGAGGCCGTCCGGCAGGGCTGCAGGGACATCGCCTACCAGCTGGTGCACAACACCGACATCAACGTGAGCCAGGGGCCAGGGGTCGGGAGACCAAGTCGGTGGGCATCGTGACGACCACCCGCGTGCAGCACGCCTCGCCGGGCGCCTCCTACGCCCACGTGGTCAACCGGGAGTGGTACAGCGACGCCGACCTGCCCAAGGAGGCCGTCCGGCAGGGCTGCAGGGACATCGCCTACCAGCTGGTGCACAACACCGACATCAACGTGAGCCAGGGGCCAGGGGTCGGGAGACCAGGGGCACCTCCTGGCCCTGCAGGGGCCCTGCCCTCAGCAAGGCGCAGCATCTGTGGGGCAGGTGTCACATGTGGGGGCTACCAAGGTCTCACTTCCCTGCTGCAGCTGGGTGCATTCATCCCACAGACATGATACTTGTTCTTGCTGCCCCTCAGCCCAGCCCCACCTTGGCAGGGCCCCGGCCCCGGCCCCAGGGCCTGTCTGCTCACAGTGGCCAACACCAGACACGCCAGAGGGAGGGATCACAACAGGTAATCCTCATGGGATCCCTTCCCTGTCACCCACTCCGAGAGAAACAGAGGCCAGGGACACCCTTCCTACCCATCCTGGCTAATTGCCATTGATGGACCTCACCTCCAGGAATCTATCTAGCTCTTTTCTGAACCCTGTTAATGTCCTAGACTTCACTGCATCCTCTGGCAAGGAGTTCCACAGGTTAACTGCTTGTCGAACAGCGAGCCCATGCAGTCCCCATGTGGGCCAGAGGGGGCGTTGCCATGGCTCAGAGCCCAGCGGCCGGGCTCTGCCCAGCCTGGGGGGTGCCGGGGCATGCGAGGCTCCAGTGCCCCTGATGTCTGGGCTGTCCCTGCCCCGCTTTCAGGTGATCCTGGGCGGCGGGAGGATGTACATGACGCCCCGGAAGACCCCGGACCCCGAGTACCCGGAGGACCCGAAGCAGAGCGGGACGAGGAAGGACGGCCTCAACTTGGTCGAGAGGTGGCTCAGTGCCAAGGAGGTGCCAGCTCTGCCCGTGCCCTGGAGCCGAGGGGCAGGGTTGGGGGGGGCGGCAGCCC